ATAGTCTAATAGAGACCTGTCAATCAGCGTGTAGCCCCGCCCTAAAGCATCCACTCCCTTGTTGTCTAATAGAGACCTGTCAATCAGCGTGTAGCCCCGCCCTAAAGCGTCCACTGCTTCGTAGACTATTAGAGACCTGTCAATCAGCGTGTAGCCCCGCCCTAAAGCGTCCACTGCTTCGTAGACTATTAGAGACCTGTCAATCAGCGTGTAGCCCCGCCCTAAAGCGTCCACTGCTTCGTAGACTATTAGAGACCTGTCAATCAGCGTGTAGCCCCGCCCTAAAGCATCCACTGCCTTGTAGTCTAATAGAGACCTGTCAGTCAGCGTGTAGCCCCGCCCTAAAGCACCCACTGCCTTGTAGTCTAATAGAGACCTGTCAATCAGTGTGTAGCCCCGCCCTAAAGCATCCACTGCCTTTTAGTCTGTTTGACTCCAAATGGACCATAATTCACTAAATGAACATCACGAGTCGCCCCCTGCTGGTCACCTGAGTGAATGCAGGTCAATACATGAGATTAATTAGAATAGGTCAATAAATTAAAGGTAATCACTTGTATGTATTTTATCTTGTACCATCTTTCTTTGTTGCTCCTAAAAGACCATTCAACCATAAACAAGAACAATAAACCAACTTATTTTCTGAATTATCGTTTTTTCTCTGCAAAATAATGAAAAGGAGGCGATGAGCAGCACTGACGAGTCGGGACCCATCATGAGTCTTTCTCTCCTGCGTCACACGACCACTGATTTAGTTCAACACTGAAGCGAAAGCCGCTCCGTGGAATCGGACTCCCGGTGTGAGCGCGGCGCTCGCCGGTCGTTCCCTTCTGGCTCCCGATGTCCGTAGGATGGGGGAGCAGTTGGGCCTGTCAGCGCCGCTCCCACCAGGCGTTAAACAGACCGAGCGGAGGTGCCAACGAGCTCCCCGCCATACGCCACACACAACCTATTCATGGCGTAACACAAAGAACACAACGTGCTGTTACTACGGCGACGCACGGGACTCGGCACGCGGCGTTCTGTTACTACACCGCCAAACGGTATACAAATACATAGAGTGATGGAATGTTTTTACTGTCAACTTAACACTTTTTTCTCAAAGAAAGTGCATTTTAATGAATGACTCAAATATACATTTGGTTTATGTTCACCCAAGTTGTGTCCTCGCCTTGACCTGAAAACGCAATTTACTGGCAAATGTTGAACTTGAAATACCCAAATAAGCATCAACTGTATGTATAACCGTTGCTTCTACAAGACTCTTTTTAGTGAAATGCTGTGATTATATTTTAGTTCCCACCTGCTAACATTTACGGTGTAAGCGTCTTTTATTGTGAAAGGCATGATCCGGGGTGGACCTGGTCGATTAAAAGGAGTAATGAAAGTCTGCTTCCCTGATTTCGGACCGAGCCTCCGTGTTGTTGTTCTCTATGTGGAACGTTTTGAATATTTTCTGCAGCCAGTGAACAGGACGTCGTATAGGTCTCTGCTAATGACCTGTCAATCAGTGTGAAGCCCCGCCCCAAAGCATCCCCTGCTTTATGGTCTGTTTGACTCCAAATGGACCATCAGTCACTAAATGAACATCATGCTGTGTTGAAGAAGACTTGAAACTAGAGACTGAGACATAAACTCATGTTTACAACGTTTACTGAGGGAATAAATCCAGAGAGAAGTAGAGTCATTTCCTTAATAGACGTCTATGGGAGCAGAGGAGTCACCCCCCTGCTGGTCACTACAGAGAAGTAGAGTCATTTCCTCATAGACGTCTATGGGAGCAGAGGAGTCGCCCCCTGCTGGTCACTACAGAGAAGTAGAGTCATTTCCTCATAGACGTCTATGGGAGCAGAGGAGTCGCCCCCTGCTGGTCACTACAGAGAAGTAGAGTCATTTCCTCATAGACGTCTATGGGAGCAGAGGAGTCGCCCCCTGCTGGTCACTACAGAGAAGTAGAGTCATTTCCTCATAGACGTCTATGGGAGCAGAGGAGTCGCCCCCTGCTGGTCACTACAGAGAAGTAGAGTCATTTCCTCATAGACGTCTATGGGAGCAGAGGAGTCGCCCCCTGCTGGTCACTACAGAGAAGTAGAGTCATTTCCTCATAGACGTCTATGGGAGCAGAGGAGTCGCCCCCTGCTGGTCACTACAGAGAAGTAGAGTCATTTCCTCATAGACGTCTATGGGAGCAGAGGAGTCGCCCCCTGCTGGTCACTACAGAGAAGTAGAGTCATTTCCTCATAGACGTCTATGGGAGCAGAGGAGTCGCCCCCTGCTGGTCACTACAGAGAAGTAGAGTCATTTCCTCATAGACGTCTATGGGAGCAGAGGAGTCGCCCCCTGCTGGTCACTACAGAGAAGTAGAGTCATTTCCTCATAGACGTCTATGGGAGCAGAGGAGTCGCCCCCTGCTGGTCACTGCACAGAATGCAGCTTTAGGACACTGAGCTTATTTTTAAATAAAAGTGTAGTTAAGTGTGTGTGTGTGTGTGTGTGTGTGTGTCCCCAGGTGGCGTGCGAGTGTTTTTACAAACAGCCCTTTGATTGAGAGGCCGCGACGCCCGGCTGACAGGCGTGACAGAGCGCTGCGTCGCCATGGTTACGCAGCGCGGACCCGCGGATACGCCACGGCCACCACGGCGCCGGGGGAGGAGGGGGGGGTTGGAGGGGGGGTGGGAATCGACCGCAGTAATTAGCTAATGAGGAGACGGTTGTCAGGAGTTACAGCGCCGCTGGGCGAAGGAAGACGATAAATACGGCAAATAGAAAATACTGAATATTTAAAAAGTGATAAACGTGCAATGTTGTCAAACATACGTCGTCGCACATCGTCTCCGACCAGATGAGGTCACATGCAAATTAATAACCAGTCCGTGTCGGATCCCAGCCAGAGTTCACACGTGACATAAAGAGGCCAAAGCGAGATGAAAGCTAGAATGTAATGCTGGTTCCAAAAGGAAGCTCACACCTCATTCCTATAAACACATGTCCTATGACACACACACACACACACACACACACACACACACACACACACACACACATTAATAGCTGCGTTTAGAGCCTGCTGAGCTCCACCTGTCAGCTCAGGACCACAGAGCACCATGGAGGTCCACAACAGACGGCTCTCTGGAGGCAGACCATGCTAACATGCTGTAGACTGCAGAACAAGACCACGGCAACGTGAACCCTCCACACGTCCCACATCTCGCGTAGTCACATGACTTCGAACGAATCAATCACCTCGAGTGACGAAGCAATCGCACACGGCGCGATCGGCTGCTCCACTCCTCCACCCACGACGCGTCCGACTGGCTTCATCTCGCCCTGCGCGCTCCCTCAGACGGGAGCTTTTAGGTTACGGCGGCGTCCCGTTTGTCTGTCGGTAACGAGCTGCGTCCCGCCCTTCAGGCGAGGAGGCTCCGTGGCGACCAGCAGCGCGCTGCTGATGGAGCTGATGGAGCTGATGGACCACGTGGATCCGTCACGTGAGACGTTCGTCTGCCGCGTGAGGGTCACATGTCAGAGGCTCAGATAGGCGAGGAAGGCCTGTGTGTTACAGAGAGCACAGGATGGGGGGGGATGCGTTCCCTCCCTCTCTTCTTCTGTCCCCTTTAAAAAGGAGTTCACCGCTGCTGCAGCTGCTCAGCGTCGGTTGGGGGGTTCTGGTCCGGCGCTGTTGGAGAACAGGGACGTCTTGATGTTCCTGCTTGTGTGACGCCGCTCCGCTCGCTCGCAGGATGGATTCACACAACAGGGAAAGCAACCGGGTCCAGATTGGGAGCCGATCGCCATGAGAGGAGCGTTATGTAATGTCACACTTCGAAAATAACTGTGCTCGTGTTGGAGGAAAGAGAACAAAATCAGTGATCGGATTCAAGACGTCACCTTTAAACGTCACGCGTTTTCCAGACGTGGAAGCGTGGACACGCATCGGACACGCGCGGCACACGGGTCACGTGTCATTCTGAGGCGTAATCCGTGCGTCTCGTTTCCACGGGAGCACACAGGTCAACTGGCCGTATCCCACGTTAGCCTCATGCTAACGACCTGGCGTCACATGATCATCCAGTCAGGGCTGCACACGTGCAAACTACACATCATGTATTACGGCGCTGAAGATACATCTGTTAGCATCAGCGAGGTGACGTTAGCATCGGCTGGAGTAACTTCACGCCGCATTCGGAGAAACACCCCGAATGCGCCGCACCCGTCGGCGGCGGACGTGTCCCGTGGAAGCGTGTGGAATGCGGCGCAGGATGAAGATGGAACACGTGTGCGTGTGTGTGTGTGTGTGTGTGTGCACGCTTGTGTTTCTATCCTTGTGAGACACAGCAGACTTTTAACGAGTTTTCCTCCCGTGCGATGGGACGCGCAGCAGCTGGTTCCCTCCTCCTGCATCTGTAACGCTTCAGCTCAGACCCAGCGTGTCCACCTCCAACAGGTGTCCATTTTATACCCCGAAACGACGTCCCAGACCCCCCGCGGTGTTCTGACCCGCGGTGACCGTACAGCTCAACGCGGCCTTCTAGTCTGAGAACTGCTCTGTTTGCTCCTTCGTCTCAAGTCAAATTGTCTACAGAAGTCTGTGAAAACTCTCCATCACTCACGCATCTGCATCGCAGGGGGGGTTTCAGATTCACGGCTTCCTCTTCGACCCCTTTCACAATAAAAGCACGGCGTGGGCGCCTAAAAAAAAGCCACAGAGAGACCATTCCTTGACTGACACAGAGCGGTGAACTTGAGAGCAGTCAAAGGGGACAGAATGGCGCCAGGCTACAGACGGAGGTGCACCTCAGGGGCTTCGACCATCACACGCCGTCCAACGAACAAACCAAGTACATCTGGATGGAGGATGAAGGTTTGCAGATGAATAGATGGATGCAGGTGGATGGATGGATGATATAAAGGGAGCAGAGGTTTGTAGGTGACAGAGGGAACATCTCCTGAGTGGAGGATGCAGAGCAGGGATGTGTGTGTGTGTGTGTCCTCCTCAGTACCTTCCAGGCAGCAGGTCCTCCAGAGGCCCGAGTGCGTCATCACCTCCTCGTTCTTCTTGCTGGTCTCGTTCTCGTTGGTGCTCTTAACCTTGCAGACGCCGCGCGAGTACAGCCAGTAGTCCGTCCCCACGGCGATGGTCATGAGGCTGAAGGCGGCGAAGGCCCCCACCGTGGTCAGCAGCATCTGGACTCCGCGGTCAAACACCCCCATGTTGCCGCATTCCACGAAAGGGGGGCCCCCTTTCCTCTTGATGTACAGGAAGTAAATATTTGTGAGTTTGCGTCGCCACGCCAGCTCGGAAAACGGGGGGGGGGGGGGGAGGGTAGCGGGGGCGCCCGCGGCGCGCGGGGAATTAGGGAACTCGGGGATATTCGGTATTGGTTGTTTTTAGGGTGGAAACAGCCAAAGAAATGAAGACGAGGGCGACGGTTTGGACGGGTCCGACGGGACAGGAAGAACCCTACGAAGTTCTAGACCTCGAGCGGCAGCAAGTTGCCCAAAAAAAAAGAGAAAAGGGCTGACCTAAAAACACCAGCAGACCCCACGAGAGACCTGTTCTGGGATCCAGGCCCACTTGGGAGGGGGAAGGGGTCATTTACAATCCTCACGGCTTGGAGGACGCGGAGGTTGAAACATCTGTCACATCCAGCTGTGTTCTCCACACACACACACACCTGTACGGGGACAGACTTTAAGTCATGCTGAATGGGAGGTGAAGGAACGAGGGGGGGGGGGGGGTTAAGGTGGGTTCGCTTGCACCAGTCGGCCGCCTGGTATCTTTAAAAAGAAAAACTCCACCAGGTGATGGAGGATGAGATCTACGCTGATGTTCCCCAGTGGACCAGTGGAGAATCACATGGGGGGGGCAGGTAGAAACAGACCGGCCCCAGGAAGAGACAACACGAGGACTGGATGTGCTGAAGGAAACGAAAGTCAAAGCAGCAGAATCAAGCGCTCCCCAGAAAGCAGGAACACAGCGACGAGTAAAGCCAAACGATCAGATGGTGAGAAGCAGCCATTCCTGAAGAGGTGGAAGAAGACGGGGACCGACCGGGGACGCGTCTCCCCGCCGGGAAGAGGAAGGAAAAAATATGAAGTTGAGAAAATCAAACGACCCCTAAAATCCTGATCCCCAGTTTCCACGTGTGGTCCCCAGACCTTCCTCCGGCAGAGGGGAGCCGCTATACGGGGAGACGGCCAGCGGCACCGACGGCGCACCGCGCAGAGAGGGGCGCATCCGGGCGGAGAGGCCGGGCATCACCGCTCATGCGGCCGGCCGCAGACACGAGGAGGGCCGGGGACGGACGGACGGACGGAGCTTCCCGCGGCGCCGGAGCCTCTTCCTCCAGCGTCCGACCGATGCGAGGCGGCTACGCGACGGCCCGCCGGGGCCGCGCCGGCGCGCACGCGCGCGCGGAGCCGCGCACCGCCATCACGTCAAGGGACGCGCGCTCTGTGGCTGCGCGTGTGCGCGACGCGCGCGTGCGTCGGGGAGGCTGTCAGATAATAATGATAATAAGACTTCAAATCGAGCAAGACATCAAATCCTCTGGATTCTTCCTCTTCTTCTTCCTCTTCTTCTTCTTCTTCTTCTTCTTCTTCTTCTTCTTCGTGGAGCTGATGTAGAAGTGGAGAGGAGGGAGGAAGAGGAGGAGGAGGAGGAAGAGGAGGAGGGGGGTGGATGATGGTTAGAAGCAGCGGATGAAAAAAGAATCGACACAACCAAAGGGTGAGGGAGGGAGAGAGGGAGGGAGGGAGGGAGAAGAAATCCTTTCTAATATCAAACACACAGACAACTCAATGTGATAAAATGAGATTAAAGAAAGTCGATCACAGACAGAGAAGAATAGATGTGATGAAAACAATGAAATAATTCTCCCAACAGGTGGAACGATTCCTAAAGCTTGAGAAGCCTTTAGTTCTCCTGCACAGTCCAATGAGTGTCCTTCCTTTGCATCTCAAAGTCCTCGGTGGTCCTGAAGGACACGACGAGAAGAAACAACTTCATGAGCTGGTTCCTCATTCTGCTGCTGACCTTATTTTGTTTATTGTTTCCCAGGTGACGCAGATGCCAATCAGCAGCAATCCTCAGGAGGCCGGTGGACGCTTCCTGAGCGAGGCACCAACGTCACGGTCATTCATGGCGATGCAGCGATAGTCATGAGAGACACACGAGGGTAAACGGATAATGATGAACTCGGGGGAGTATACGCGGGAGGGGTGAGAAGCAATTGGGTGGACGAGACAGGTGAGTGTAATCAGGAGAAAGACACACGAGACGTTTCCTTCATCTGGTAGAAGGAGCACAGAAGGCCGAATGTGAAGCTCCCGCAGATGAAGAGACACCAAAGAGAAAAGAAGATAGAGACACCAGTCTGCCATGTTGGCCTCCTCTTCCTCCTCCTCCTCTGGTTCCTGTTTCTTTTCTGCTAGAATGATGGTTGATGTTTTATCTCAGCCTGCAGGTGCATCAGCGTCTGCGCTGTGCTTTTATTATGAAGGCCTTTCATAATTTGTGTGGATGGACACAGTGTGAAGCGTTGGCTGAGGGTGATCCCGGTTCCCGCCGCTCTCCCTCTTCGCTCGGCGCTACCTGCTGCGGCCTGGTGACAGACGCGCTTCATGCTCCTCAGAGGACGAACCGGCTCCTTGTCGTCTCCGCTGGGAGAACGATGGGGAGCGACGACACATCTGTGGGTCCAACTGGTCTTTTGTCTTCCTCTTCAACGAGGTTCGGCCGCTCCTTCTCTCTGCGTCTAATTTACGGTGGAAACATTTCACTTTTGAATAAATCATTTCCGCGTTCATTTCCAGACGGTTCTATAATTACTTGCGACAAATCAGCCGTCACTGAGGACACGGCCGGGTGGAAGTGGGTCAGAGTGAACTCCTCTTCTCCTTCACACGCCTCTGAGTCTGGTTTACTGCAGTTATGTTTTCACATCCGCTGACCCCGTCTTTCACCCCGAGCCGTTACCCGAGGGGTAAACAGCCCCCGAAGTGAGAGGACGGGACATGCGGTCTTTGTTAAGGAGCGTGAGGTGCTACGCAGCAGCTCTGATCGTTTATTCAAAGCGTTTCAGCTTATGAGAGAACAGGAAGCTCTCACAGCCTCTTCACCTGCGTTGCTACAGGTGTGATCGGCTTCTTCTTCTCCTCTTTGGCCTCCTGACCTCCCTTTGTCATTCATTCACATCCGATGAATAAAACATCGACCCCGGCGACTCCTCATGTCGTTACATCTCGTTACATCTCGTTACATCACGTTACTGTCACGGTGTGGTTTCACTTCCTGTTGTATTTTGTAGTTTTCTGCCACTCGTGTTCCCGGGTAACTTCACTTCCTGCCTTGTCCCGTCGTCCCCTGTGATCGTCTAATAGTTTCCACCTGTGTCCAATCACCTGCACCTCCCTTGTGTATTTAAGCCGTGTGTCTCCTGTGTCACTTGTCGCGTCATTGTCTTTGCCACG